TTCAGGTCAGGTTTATTTGAAAAACTGACAAACAAACCTGAATTTATGTATTTATTTATAATTATTTATAAATTTGTATATTTAAGAACACTTTGAAGAACATTTCACTGCAACACAGTCCTAAAAGCATGCAGAAAAAGATAATAGATGCTTAGAAAATGTAGAAGGGCAAGACATTTTTTACAGAGACCACAAATAGCTATTAGAATTTAGGGTTTAAACGTGAGACAGAGCAATCATATTCACTGTTAGATTTGTTCCAGTGAATACAAACAAGTAGCTTAGCCCAGAAAGCATACTCAGATGAGTAGTGCAACTAAGTTCAGCGGCAGGATCCAGCTTGCATGTAAGTAAACCTTAGAGGGAAGTTACCTATTGTAAAGAGGCTGGTGCATTCTCTGCCCAAGTCATTAACTGCACAGCACCATATATAAGTTTGAAATAATTCATGTTGTACCTTCTGTATACTATCTATTTCCCCAATGTCTTCATGCATTTTATCAGGGCAACTGCAATTACAAGCACAATTATTCATTGACTCATTTGGTTAACCTCAAGCAAATAAATCTGATAAATCTCCAAGTCATGAGAATATGCAAACAATAGTGGGAAAACTGGATCTTACATAGCTGAATAAAAAGGAACTAGGAAAGGTGAAGATAAGAAAATAAAAATCTCACAGCCTAGGCAGAAACATGAGCTGAAACGACCTGAATATGCTCAAACTGGCTCATAGACAGGTAATGCTGTGACTAAAATCTGGGTAAGAGTGAAATCATAGAGGTTGAGCTTTCACAACACATATCTGAAGTCCTGGTGGTGGGAGCTGCTGCAAATCCAGCGGCCATTATGAGACCCAGATCCCAAACTGCCACGCTGCAGAGAAAGGCATTATATCCGCTGTTATAAAAGAATCAACTTCATATGTTAATAGAATGGAAAAAAAAATCATTTAGCTTGGAAAATTATGATTCCTTGTAACTTCTTTCCAGCTCTAATGCATTCACATTTCCAAAAATTGTGAAAAACTAGAGGGAAATGAGATACCTTCAATTGCTCTGGTGACATCAAAATAGTAGAATCTGGAATAACTTTTTCCAAGCCAAGAGTTGAAAGTTTCCAAAAGACCACAACAGCCAAAATTTCTATGAAAAATGTGCTGCAGCACTCCAAAAGTGGATCATGCAGACACAGGTTTTCAACCAGCACATGGGTGTGCAACCCAGCAGAGCCCATCTCCAAAAATTTTGACACAAAAGCTCTTCTTCAGTTATCTCCCCACCTCGCTAGGCACACTAAGCAGTACAAAGCCTTCCCCTTCTTCTTCTGAAGATGGTAAACTTTCAGTCTAGAGATTCAACATGAATATAAACATACACCATACCTCTTTTCAGGTGTTTTGCAAAATATCCACTCCACAGAGGGCTGGGGGTAGCTCTCAGATATGCACTCAATAGCATCCGATTTTTCCCTTTTCCTGAAATAGGGTTTGCCTGGTTTCTCTGTTAAAAATCATGCAAATATTTAGGAATGCTGAAATCATTCTGAAGCAGTGTTTTGGTCATTTCATAGTACATGAAGTTACAGAGCTGTAATTTGTTTCAGGAGGTTTCAACACTGAGGGAATAGAAAATGATTCTGCCCTAGGGATATTGTGGGTTGGTCTCATGACCTTTTCAGACTTGATTGCTAAATGCACAGCTCCCCCCTCCCCATATCAAAGGCTTGCCTCTATACACCAGAGGATAATCCTGAGACTGATACTGAAAGGTGTTAATTTGCTGTGGTTGCTTTTCATTTCACTGGGCAGGAGCACAGATACCTTTCGAAATCACATCCCAAGCCCGTGGCCTTTGGTGGAGTATCTGTTGAGACTACAAAGTCTCTACACAAAATGGGATCGTTGCATACTACTCAGTCAGATCAGATACACGATGGAAAAACAACGGGTGATAATGACTCCTGATAGCCAGCAGACTTCTCTATCCTGTATCTGTAACCCAGGGGGAAAAGACTCCTAGACAACTCCCAGTCTTCTGAACCCCTCAGGCGCAGACTTGGACTAAGCACAAAAATTTAATATATTAAAACTGCTAAAGATTTGACTTAAAATGAAAAGCACTGAGTCTGGTTTTAGGTCATCTTACAATGAAATTACAGCTTCCACACAGAAGACTGACATTTTCTTTAGAGTCGTACTTCCATTGCCTGCAAGGTGACATGCTAAGGTGAAACTAATACTTCTGGCTTTTTAATTTCTTTCTTCATTTATCTCTTATAAGCTGGACCTAGAAGTTTTTTTTCACCTATACAGATTCACATCTCAGTTGAAGGGTTCACATCTAGCCTGGAGGATTTTATGAGAGATGTAATTATGATATTAAATTCACAGGAGCAAAGAGAATGCAATCCAAGCAATTGATATGGAAAAGATCTTTATCGAGACTGTTTCGAACTACTCTTGCTTGCACATGTAATAACACTTTTTACCTCTACAACCTAATTGATATAGTAGAGAAGGTAATTTTTAATTAAAGATTTAATACCCTGTCCCCTCAATGAAGCTGTTAAAATTATAATTGAGACATGCAATAAGCCTTCAGATGAAACAAGGAGAGACTGGAGGTGACACTTCTGACACCTGAGAGAGAAAAAAAATCAAACAGAAGAAATACTTTAAAAACAAATAAAGAAGGAATAAAAAATGTTGATTAGTCACAGTTTATTAAAAATGAGGCAAGTAATGATGCATGTTATGAAACCTGTCTCTAGAAGGGTTTGGTCCTAACTTTGCCAGTCTTAGCTGTTTGGATTGATGTTTTGCTTTCTTTTCTTTGAAATTTCTTTTACATTTTTCAATTTTATCTTTAAATTTGGCCCTTTCCAGACAAAATAATATGGTATTTCTCTTCTGTTAAAAAAAAAAATCAACATGCGTCTTTTTTTTTTTTTTTTATGTTCTTGGACACCCCTACTTAGAAACAGAAGCTGAACTTTGTTGCAGCAGTTGCCTTTGCATCAGAGATGTCTCGTGTGGTCCTTGAGAAAATTCAATCAAATCTGCTCCCACTGTGAGCCTTTCAAAAAGTCACACCTCACATGTTCTCTGTCATGAGCATTTAACAGCACTTAAAATCTCAGCTTCTTGGGCACCCTTGTGCTGAGCAGTTGCAGTGCTGGTGTGTTAAAACCCAATAAACAAGTAAAGGCTGGCACTGAGAAGAGGACCTTGTCTTTCCCCTTTCCTCAGTGGTACCTCTTGCTGCCCACAGAATTGTGAAAGGAAAAGCTATGTGAGAAGTGCAGAGACCCAGTGGCAGGCACAGGTGGAGAAGTGGCGGAGTGGGACAAGGTGTGACTTCGGAGCGCCAGAGACCAGAATATAAAAGGGACGTCGTGATCTGGTCCAGATAACAGACCAGCCGGCAATACCGAGAATAAATAGGTTAAGATGCAAGCAAACACATCTAGTCAGCGAGCTTTGAGAGCACACAAGAGCCACCCTTGATTTGTCCCTCTTGGCACAGAGGGGAATCTCTCATAGGGGAGAAGAGGGCTGCTGTGCATTTACATCTTTATTTGTTCATTTGCATGGTTTATTGACTAGCGAAAGTTGACTCTCACAGAGTCTGTGGTTTTGACTTCAGTCTGAAGTCAGCCCCAAGCCCTATGCAAATCTAGGAAGATGCTTGAAATGCAGCACGCGAGAGCTTCATTGCTTTGACTGAACTTGAGCCTCTCCTCTGCACCTATTGATGGAATGATCCCTTTCATCTGAGTCATACTTACTTCGGATGACAACAGGCACAACTACTGTGTAATTGCCGGTTTTACTTATGACTGAAAGGGTGTATTTTCCAGCTTGTGTTTCTTTTATTTGGGAAAAAGCCAAAGACGTAACATATCTATAAAATGGAAAATAAAGCTGTATTTGTTATCTAGAAGGTGATATGCAGCAGACACAATAACATGTTAGCTCTTTAGCTTTTGCAAAAACACTTCAGAGATACTATTATTCATTATTTACATAGAGCCCTTCAACCTGAAGTGTTTTCATCAGGTATGTTCCTACACAAGCAGCACGTAGGAACTTACAACCACAGGTACCCAAGTACATGCTTAACACCGAGCATTGGGAAGAATGGACTTTCTGAGCTTAGGACAGCTGGGGAGGTCCACAGGGAAATGCTTTACCTACAGTCCCATCCCACATGTTTTGCAGGGGGAGGCAATAATCCAGCCGCAGGTTCCAGCCCAGGTTTGGCTGTGAGAATGAGGGTGCTGTTGCTGGTGCTCTTCCTGACCTGCAGTGTGACCCTAACAAGTCACATAATTCTCCATGCCTCAGTTTCTTTGACTATGAAATCACGATATTTGCCTCACACAAGCACTGCAAAGCTCAAATTGATCAATGTCAGAAAGTCCATGGAGACCCCCATGCATGATGCTATACAAATTAAAAGAACGAGCTGATTTCAAGCTATTCTTGACTTTAAGATTCATATGTGTATATGTGTCTAAATGACAATCAGCAATGTGCTGCCAGGTGACAACAGTTAAGAAAGATTAGAAGATTTAAAAAGATAACGCATAACATGAAATTAAACACAAACACAGTCACAGAAAATATTCCATTTACATCCCAAAAGAAATGATCTCTTAAAGGTTCTTTGATCCAGTACATCCCTTGACTTACCGATTCTCTGAGTCCAATGAAAGTTTACAAGTCTTGCTCTCTTTAAAGAACCAAAAGCATGAAATGATCTCTGAAATGTTCATTACCACTCTTAATTCAATATCTTCAAACACATTGACTTCTACATTTTTAGTTGGTTCGTAGATGTTCTCTGTTCCTTGAGAATTCAAATAACACCCAACATCTTCCAAAATGTTAGAAATCTGCAATGCAAGAGGACAGATTGTTAGGTATTTATTAGCAATTAGCTTTATTTGCTTTTTTGCATTCAAATATTTTTAAAGGATGCTCTTCTGGAAAAGCTTTCATAAATTAATAATGCCTCATAATGCCCAAATATGAATACAAATTATACTGAAATAACACCTTCATCATACCTTCATTTTGTTTCGTTTTGGTTTTGGTTTTTTTCATTTCTACAGTCGAACTTATTCATAAATATGTTGAGTTCTACTGCAGGAGGAAACACTACAGGATTCCTGTTGAATTAGTTAATTCTGTTCTCTAGACAGACATCACAGAACAATTTTAGCCAGAAACATAATAATATCCCTTAGTGATACAGCCTATTCTTTACTCTCATTTTTGTTTCCTTTCATGTAGAACCATAGGAAGACACAGAACGATAATACAACTTTTCTGTTTGCGACCTGAACACAAAGGCAGGGCCAGAATATTTTTTTTTTAGCATCCCACAGCTTGTCACTGCATCATCTGGCTAGACTGCTCCTCGACTCCTTGGGGGCTTTACTAGGCAAGGAACGTTTGGACTGGACACCTTCACACCTTTCATTTCCTCACCATTGCATACAGCTAAAGGAGAATCGCAAACAGAAAGAGAATATTCCACAGTCATTCTGAAAACCACCAACGTATTAATGAGTCTCTAAGCTTAGCTGCAGCAAAAGGTGGCAAGTATATAGCTCCATCTGAAGAGTAGTCCTAAATGTCTCCCTTACTTTAGTGGGTGAAATTTGTCCGGTGTAAGTTTATGAAAGGATGGAGTTCATTGCATACTCTGCCCTGCACTGTGCTTGGCCAGTTGGTTCTTCTAATTCTTTGCTCCTTCATTGTCCCTTCCCTTGATCTGAGAAGTATCTAGAGATAACAGCCATATTCTGCTCTGTCTGACACAAGGACAGCACAGCTTTGACTGGTATACCTTCATTTGTTATCCGAATTACTGATTTATTTGTCCAGGAATGAAAAAGATTTCATAAGACTAACTTGAAACAAGAATCCTCAGGATATATTTTAATCGCAGGTCTCAGCTGCTTTATAATTTAGTTGCACAACACCTCTCTTGGCCTTCTGCCATTTTGAGTCAGAAGAGAAGAAAAAAAATTGTATTTGATTCCCTATCCAGCTTTGGTGTCTCAGTCAAGGTTTAGACCAGGCAGGGATTTATGTGCTTTGGTGGTGGGAATAGAGGGTAGTGCAGCTTCCCCATCAGTCCCAGCAGCTGTGGCACACACATACTGTGGCAGACCACCAGTTCACACCATGGCCTTGGCAATGCCCTCTTAAAGGCACATGGTTTTTTACATTGATACATTTCCAGCAATATTCGGCAATATTCAGCAATATTCAGGCATGCTGATGTGATACAGCATCAAGGCAGCAATTAAAAAAACCAGTTTTAGAGAAAACTTGTACTTATCTATTTACAGTTTCAAAGTATGAATTGTGATACGTATTTCCCTCTAACCTTCTGCAGTCATATTTGGCCTAACCCTGGTTATTTTGACTGTGACATCCCCACAGCCTAAAGGTTTAGGGTGTTGTAAGCTTCTGGGAAAGTATTATTTCTGGAATGGACAGGTATATTTTATAAGCAACTCGTTCTCTGTTAGATTACCTTAGGCGATACCGATGTCTCTGATGTTCCTGAACCTTCATCCTTCTGGCTGATAAACACACATGTAATCTCAGATGTATTTTGATTCATTGCAGAACTGAAAGTAACTGCTGTCATAACAAGAACTGTAAAACAGAAATAGAAAAAAAATGTAATCATGTCGAGATCTCTGCTCAGGGATAATCATTTTAGTAAAAATAAAATGCAACAAAACTGTAGAAAAATTATATATTTAAAAAAAAAAGGCGAAGGAATAAGCAGATATATCGTGTGCATTTGCAAACTCTGCATTTGTGTATTGAAGCTGAGTGGAAGCACTATGCGGAGAACATTTCAAAAGCACAGATACATAACACTTTAGAAGTATGTCCCATAATATTGCAGAAAATGTCTAAAGACAAAAGCCTCTGTGTTATTGAGGCTCCTTTAGAAGCCACATTACAAAACACAGGCTCCTTCTTGCAGGTCACTTCTGCATCAGTGTCTCTGAAAGGACCCTGCAGCACCAAACCCTGCAGCCTCAGGCCAACATTTACCCATCGTAAGCCGGAGGATGATAATACACCATCCCTCCCATTGGCACTGAGGAGAGTCCACGTCAGAAACACTCCCCAAGCACCCCTCACTCCTGCTCAGAGCAATGCCAAAATAAAGTCCTCCAACTTGCAATGGCAAAATAAAGTCCTCCAACTTGCCTTTAGAGCCCACATTCAGCTCGCCCAAGGACTCCAGATCTAGTCTTCCCTTTCCATTCACTCCAGGACAGGCTGTATTTGATCTGATATAGCGGACACTCTCCTGAGCCTTCCTGGCATGGGTTTGTGCACGCCAGCAGCTCACAAGTGAGGTCCAGGTTAGATGCTTCTTCCTTTGAGCTGCCATTCACAGCCTTGTGCTCTTTCCCCTCCGGGAAGCAAACAAGGCAGCAATTCCCACTATTTTGAGGAAAGCAGATGCAGAAAGTGGAGGGCAAAGAAGAGTAAGCCCATGGCTTTCTCCTGCCTTCTCCTTCCTCCATACCTCCCTGGCTCTGTCATGCCTCAGGAGCCTATATAGCCAGGGCAGCTCACTTGCCAGCTCCCAGCCCTGGCAGAAGTAGCAAATGTCATTTCTCCTTATGCATAAAGAACAGTGTGGGAAAGCTTCTGGTGCCTCAAAGGCATCATCTCTCCGGAGTGCTTCGTAAGAGCCTTTCTGCAGGGACTGCAGCTTGAAAAGTCACCTTTTAGCCTTAAAGAAGCTATATAGTAACCATGCCCCCATCATTGCACATAAACAAGAAAAACAGAAGTAAGACTGCACAACTGGCAGGGTAAAATGTGTCTGATTTCCATTAAGTCCCTAAAGCCAGCCCTCAACAGTACAAATAAGCACTGAATCATAAAATAACATCTCTCTCCTGGCAACCTGGAGAATTTCTGCCCTCGGGTCTTGGTTTTTCACTTTTCTTTTTTTTTTCCCCTCAGCTCCTGAGATGGTTGGACATAAAGCAAGATGCAGAGTTGAAAGGAGGAAAAAAGGTAAATATATTAGGAAGCGCTCAAAGGATGAAAGTAATGACACTGTTTCTGCAGGTGATGGAAGGAGCAAAACTGAAAGAAGGAAGAAATGAGTAAGATTTTCTGCCATCTCCTCTTTGATGTTTGTGCCTTCTGAAGCTGCCCGAGCTCTAAGCTGGCAACACTTTGACAACCTTTTCTCAGCCTTCTTGGCAAATGTGGAATAAGACTGAGTCTTTCTCATTCAGGCACCTAGCATACACTTCATTTTGGGTGCCACCTGTCCACAGTATACACAGGCAATGGTCTGCTTTTGCAGACCTCTGAGGAAGATCCTGTTTGTCTGTCCATGATCCCTAAGAAAGGTGAACCGGACTTCTTTGTGGAGACATGTATATCCCTCCATTGCCTATAAAGATAATGTTGGCACTTCTTGAGACAGTGAGTGCCAGAGGGCAGCTGAAAAGTGGGTATGCATTAGGTATCTACACCAAGCATGCTGAATTCCTCCCCATCGATACAACTCAGGTTTCCAGCCCTCCCACTAGCCTTTCACTAAGTCTTTCTCTGCTCAGCTTTCTCCACTTCCGTTTGTTTGTTGGCCACTTTACCTTTCACCCTTTTCAAACCAGAGACCATCTGACCAGCTCACAACCAGGGGCTTAGCTGATGGAAACCCACCTATGTCCACTGATTTCCAAGACACATGAAGAAACCACCTGAAAATATGACTGCAAAAGTTCAACTCATTTGGCCTGTTGAGCATTCCCTTTCTTCAGCTTTCTGATCTGCAAATAGTTTTAGCTTCTGATTGTACAAGTCGAGCCAATTTATCCCTGGCATTACTCCACATTGCCTTGTTAGCAAGATGCCTAACACTGCAGTAGGAAAGAGAAAGATATATTTAAACACCAACAGGGAAAAGATTTGCAGCTAAAAGTTAGGCAGCAGCAGACAGATGTAGCAACCAGACTGTGAGTGAGACATGCAAACAAGGTGTCTGGAACTGCATCTGTAAAGGACGGTATGTGGGTGTATATGCTGGAAGAGGGAGTGGTGAGCACCCTGACACCCTCATGTATAAGACAAAATGGGACTCCTTGTCCTGTTAACTGCTAGAGCTTGTCACTGCTGTTCTCTACTTTTATTCCTGTGAAATCCAGGAAGGTTTTTAGGGTAAGGAAGGATATTTTGAACCTGAGATAATTCCAGCTGCTTTACAGTGAGAAAAAATGAGTAATGTGATAGTCAGAAGTATTTACACAACATGGAGTGGCCTAAACTTGTGTAGGTCTTAGAGAAATACATTACATTGACAAAATAGAAAATGAGAGCATGAATGAGCCTTTCAGAAGAAGCAGAATCATGAAAAGAAATATTGGGAAAATGGTAACGCTCTGATTCACTGTATTGATCTTTCAGCTTCTAGCTGGCCTATTCAGGGACTGCTATTATGGTCTGCACATCAGCCGTTCTCCCGAAAGCCCAAAGTAAGAACAGCAGAGACTGAAAGCACTGGATAAGGAATACCAAATATGTAGCGTGCACAATCATATTGTGTATTGCCGAACTGTAGTGAAGCTGGAATAGAAATACATTGCTGCCTCTGAACAATGTTTGTTTACGCCTGCTTTCCATCTTCATTATCTTTTTATAAGTTATACAAAAATAAATGCAGTAGGAGAAATCTTGTTCTCACTGAAGTCAGACAAACCTCTAGTTGCCATAAACTGAGTCAGGATTTCATCAAGATGTGTAGGCACATGCATGGGGAAATGCCTGTACAAGTCAAAAAGTGGGCTTACATGTTACAGTGCTGAGAAGAAAGGCCTGAATCTACCGGAGAGATATCAAACCAAGAAGCTATGTTTAAGCTAGTTCAGCTACCAGATGGTTCACCTAATGGAACTGCTTACAAAACTTTATTTTCAAGTGGGGAATGACTAAAGTAGCCTTTGGAAAACTGGGAAAGCCACTCCAAAATATGTTGAAAGTCTGAGTTTATCAGAAAGAGAATAGCCGAGGAACTGGAGCACTGTGAAGGATGAAGAGAAAACCTTTGTCTTCAATACCAAGGGATGCATCTTGTGTTTGTACTCAGCTGAGAGTGCTTAGTATTTTACATAGCAGTCAGGCCTTTCCTAGACATACAACAATCTCCCACTCTGCTTTACAGCTCAGGAGACTTACATAAAGCAAACTACGTTTTGCTTCTTATTTGGCTTCTGACTGTTTTCTCTGGGTGAGACTCTCTGGATCAACTTTCCAAAATTTTCTTCCTGATCAGGGAAGGTAGAAGGTCCCTTTTTTCCAGGAAAGCTACAGTTCTCCCACAGTCATGTGCTGCCTGAAACAAATCTGTAAAAGTGGTGACATGGATGAGCCTAATACGCATGCATTAACTCTTAAAAAACCCACACTTTTGCGTGTGGCTGCCTTTTTCTCAAATCACCTCCACAGTGGTGGATCCTGAAGTGAGAATTTTACTTAATATAAATGTGATAAAAATCAGAGAGAGGCAGGATAGGTAGAAAGAACTGATCTTAAATGAATTCCTACCTTTTACCCATATTTGATTTCTCTCCCATTAAACTTAACTTTTCTCATTCCTCATCTTTTAGCACACCTTCCTTCCTTGGTGCCTTCGCCTTTCAGCTTAAATGATTCCCAGCTTCCAAAAAAATGCAACCTGTGAGTTCATTCTCACATGATGATGGGGCCAGAGGTGTTGCTCTGTGTCGCAGAATAATAACTGTGTTAGAACAAGGTTTAACAAGCAAGGTGGGTGACAAGATGCCTCTGTTGCAGCTCATGCTAATTGTGACTAGCTGTTTTAACACTGGATGGGGTACATCTAGGTCAGGACCAGTCATTTATCTGGTCTTACCAGTTAATTACAACAAACATCATGTGAACTGATTTCATTATTTACAGTCATGTTCAAGCATGATTGAGATTTGAAATGGAAAAAAAAAGCCTGTGGAGTGGAACCGAGAATCTCTAGACTTGAATCACTGAGCAGGAAAGCAGTGAGAAGAGGGGAGCAGGGGAGGCGGTGCCGTTTCGGGAAGTGCTTAATTAGGCTCTGTGTACTGAGTCAAAAACTAGCAATGAGAAACAACACTAATACTATACAGCATCCTGGAATGCTACTGTCCCCTGCCAGTCTTTTTTGTCATTGTCTGCAACCCTCCACCTGCATTATTTTTCCACCTGGATCCGCTCCCCCCTCCGCTTTTTTACCACCTGAAGCCGTCCCGGCTATGGCATTACACGCTGTTTCTTCCCGGGGCTCTTCTGCCCGCGAGAGGAGTCTCCGTGCGGAGGGACGGAGAGCTGCCAACACCAACGCACCGGCGGGAAGGCCCCCGGGGGCGGGCAGGCGGCGGCCGCCA